TTTTCCACTTCTGATGCTCCAGGATGTCTACTCCCTCGTTCTTTGATTGCTTCCATTTTCTCTAAAGAAGAGCTTCCCTTGTGGTTGTCCATTTAAGTTCACCACCTGATATGACAGAGAGATTTCAAGGTGGTTGAGGACGTGGGTTCCAGACTGGCCACTTCCTAGCAGTTTGACTTTAAGCAAATTAGGTTCTCAATGTGCTTCAGATTTCTCTGAGATATCAATAATAATCTTGCAGATAGCAGAGGGTTGAAAGACTTAGTACATAAAGAATTAACAATATTATAACAAAAAGCATGAAGGATAGTGCCTGGCAAATCGTTGAGTTTTCCATATATGTTAATCATCCTATTACCCATGGGAGCAGAGACTCAAAGAATCTCATTATTTCTTTTCCCGTCAATGAACTGCAGATAAAGCAGGAATTGGAAGAGACGTTCTAGCAAATTATTAACCCATTTTGATCCATTGCCCGACAGCTTTCGGGTTCAAAGCATGAACTCAGATATGGCTAGTGTTCAGAGTAGGAGGGGCAGCTTGTTTTTTTCCTGCATTTTTATTTCCATTGGGATTGGAGCTAAGTTACTGGCAAGAAGGGTCCCCATCCAAACTACACTGTGCAGCTCACTGCTACCTCTTGTTGCCTACAATATTAGAGCAATGCTCCCAACCAGGGCGAGAAGGAGCAAGAGAAGTCTCTGTACATCCAGGAGAGGAAACAGCCAACTTGAAAATGGCCCTTGGGAAAGGGGTGTCCAAATCCTCCTCAGCCCCACCCCGAGGAGTCTTCATTGCAATGCCACCACTCTGCAGGAGAGCACACCTGGAGGACAGCAGCATTCTGAAGAGGGTATTGCACAGAGAGAGTCAAAGGGGTCAGGGACAGGAAGCAAGGAGAAGCCATGGTTTCAGTATGTCTCTGAACACGCAGTTACTCTGCTTCACAATTTTCTTTAGGCGTAACCTGGGTCCATTTTTCATAAACACCCATTAACCCCTTTGCAAAACAGGTCACTCAGCCAATGCCCCCTAACGAAGAGAATTCCAAACCTGCAAGGTTGAAGCATATGACAGTACATCAAATACTTCATGGGAAACTGAAATTTAACCATTCTTTGGTGCAAAAAAAATTTAGAAATCCCATGTATAGTGTTTTGCTGTTATTGTTTTTCATTGTCTACAAGCCCTTGAACTCTTTTTAAGACCCCTTGTCACTACTCTGATGAGCCTACCAGCTCATCTTCCCCACTTGGGCTCCCTAAGCAGCAGTGAAGTCTGTTCACAGCCCTGCTTCTGTCCCAGTGGCCTTTGTTTGGAAAGAAAGTAAAGGATGTTCCCACACAACTCTTCTTCTCTAACTCCAGGATCAAAGACCACACTTGTGTCAAATTCCAATAAAAGGGAAGGAACTTGGTTGTAAGTCCACAAACGCCATGTACATAGATAGGCCTGGTACTCCCGTATTCGTGGCAGTTGCACTCATCCTTCTAACCCTGCAGCTGACTGTGACTGTCCATTATCTCCAGTCCATAGCACCATTTCCACCTTGGCTCCATCCTTGCTCCTTACCCCAGTGACCACCACAGCTCCCTACCTAGTTTCCCTGGCTCTGATATCTTCTCATACCAAGCTGTGCTATTTTTCATAGCTCTCCTAATTTTTGAATTTCAGCTTGTGAATGGATATATAACCAATGAATAGATGGACAGATGGTCACCCTACTTTTGCAAGACCAAAGCATGGGCTTTAGCTGTTGCCCTGTTGCCTTTTCAGCTCCTGAAAGTAGTGGTTCTTAGCCAGAATTTGTGTTCAGGTGCGCTATGATGACTGGTAAATTACTAAATTTTCTAAATCATTTAAACAATTCTGCTATTCGGTGAATACAGCAGATTCAGGATTATCTAAATAATGTAGGTGTTATTTTCACGCATTCAAACCATAATAGGATTTCTTGAGGGAGATGGAAAAAAAGTAGAGTCATTTCTATCCATATGGAAATCATATATGAGGCTTGCCAGAATAAGTGATCCCATCATGTATGCCCTGAATGTAGGCTTGTGGTTGTCAAGAGAATCACTTCTTGAGAGAAAGAGAACCACACTATTGGCCATGTACAGAGGAACTTTAGCCCTTCCCAGGTCTCATGTGCCATGTCTTTTTGGGTACCTAACCCTTTATCCAGAACTATTCTCTAGGTTCTCTCTAGGGAGGTCATAGTAAGCCATGGCAACATATAGACAGTCTAGCTAGAGTGTTAGACAAAAATCCATTCCACTTTTCCTTGCCTAAAACTTGAAAACATAATTACTTGCATACTGTCAGCTATGAAATAAGTAAAAAGATAACTAAAGTGACCAAAGTGTCTTAGACTGATTCAGAGAAGGTTGCTTATCTACCATGTTGAGGAAAGGACTTTGCCTTCCTATATATTGTTTGTTTTCCCCCATAAATATTTGAAGCAGCATTGACATTGGCAGGAAAGGTGACAATAGACTCAGAGCTTCTGCTGCTAAAAACTGGAGATAATCAATAGCCACAGTCAACTGTAGGATTAGAACAACAGACACGAGGATGGGAGTACTGGATACCTGTGTATGGTTTGTGCCCTGTCTTGCAACCTGGTAGAAAAAAGCATGTCATTGTTCCTTTATGGAAGGTCATGAGAATTACAGAACTGAGAGTTGAAAGGAACTGAAAGATATTCTTTGAGCCATTTCTTTTTAGGTCGATGGGTAATCCATACCTCGCCAGAAGCTTCATCAATTCCTGCAAAGGCTTCTCTTTCCAACTTTAACATAGAGGCACACACTTCCATAATTATGAAAACTTCCAAAATTATAAAAAATATTACTATGTTTTCAGAGGAGGTTTTACTAAGAATGATACCAGGGGGACGGTGAACGCTTTAGCAAAAATGTTGAAAGATTCACACAAAGCACTCGCCCACTTACTTATCCTTGCTCCCCCTTTTGTTAATAGCTGGCAATTGTTGTTGGCTAGAGAAATGTTGTTAGGCTTTGAGAAAAGCAGAGACTTCCCGAAAGTTCTATGGTTCCTCAGCCCGTTCGGGCATGTCGTCTTCTGCATCCCATAGCTCAGCTTCTATCACGTGTGCTAAATCGGCTAGCCTTAAAAGACTGACAGTTGGTAACACTACCAGTCCTCGCTCAGATTCTACCTCAGAGGTGCTCTTCCCAAGCCATTTCCTCCAGGGCAAAATGTAACCGCAAAATAAGGAAGCATCAATCAAGCCGAAACCCCCCCTCAGGACTCCATGTGTAAGTGAAGGCTTCTGGGGCTTACAGATAGGGAGCAATCTTATCCCAAACCTGGCTCTCAGCGCACCTGTGTGATGCAATGACTGCCGGTTTAAGCCGAAAAATCGCACTCCAAAGAATGTGCCTCTTCTCCCACAAGTGTGTTTTGACTCTGTGGATTAGAATGATCCAGAAAGAATTACATCAAAAGAAGAGGGATACCAAGCCGTTTCTGTGGCTTCTGATGCCTGCCATTGTTCCAAATGAGGGGACAGCTGGGTTTAAAGGCTTGTCTCACATGGGCACTCCACCCATTCTGACGAGTCTCAGTGCAGAGTGGTGTTCTTGTGGAGACAGGAGGGAAAGGTCATGTCTCTTTTCTCCACTTGGGTGGGCAGGGGACTTTGTCCATCTCCTTGGTAACTTCTTCTCAGATCGCCTTTCCATCTATGACCACCTAGCAGTCAGGTTCAAGCCGGCTTACAGTGTAGGCACTTTAAAGAGTGAACCACAGCATTTCACCTGCAAGGCATTATTTAGAAGATGACTTCTTTGAAATCACAATACCCGTACCAATTCTTTAAAAATTCTATTTATTTACTTACATCAGAGACAGAGACAGACAGAGAGAGAGACAGAGAGAGAGAGAGAGAGAGAGAGAGAGGGAAGGAGGGAGAGAATGAGTGCTCTCATCTACTGGCTCGCTCCACAAATGCTCATAACAGCCATGAGTGAGGCTATAGGCAGAAACCAAGAGCTGGGAATTCATTCCAGGCCTCCCACAGGAGGCAGGGACCTAATTACTCGAGCCATCACCACTGCCTCCTAGGGTCTGCATTAGCAGGAAGTTGGAGTCAAGAGCTGGAGTCAGGAATCAACCCTAGACACTCCAGAGAAGGATGAGGGCATCTTAGCTCCTACGCCCATTCCCACAATGCTACTGTTTATTGATTAACAACATCCCAGAGTGTTGAAAAAGCTTCCTGGGTTGATTTTGGATGCCAGGCTAAGAATGGCATGATAGAGGACAACATATGGGTGCATGAAGACTCTTGCAAATGATTCATGTGTCACTTTTTTTCCACCTTAAAGCAGCTTTACATTGTTCATGTAACCTGCTGATCTCAAACATGCCTGCATTTACCTTTGTAATCACCCTTCAAAGGCATGGCATTGTGCCCATTTTGCAGAAGAGAAAGTTACTTGCTATTACGTTATTTCTGATCTAGAAATTCCCAAAACTTTTGACAGCCATCCCTTGTAAGATCCTAATTCTTCAAAAGCGAAAGGAAGCCTTAGAAGGAAAGTAAAGGCACGAGTGGCCATGTCCAAGAGGAACGAATTGCAGTGAGTAGCCTCCAAGAAGTGAGAGGAGCCTCATGGACTGATGCTTTGCAAAAGTGCCACGTGGCTCTAGACCCTCTTAGAGGAGCGAGGGCTCCTCAGGTGCTGTTTTCCTGGGTGACATGGGAAGGGTGCTAGGACAAAAAGGTTCCACAGTGGTTCAGCAGGAAGTTATTTTAAGCATCCTTTGGAACTGAAATCCTCACTTACTCTAATTCTGTAAAAAGACACTGGGGAGCTTGCTGCAATTCATCATCTTAGGAGTAGTCTATAGCTAAGGGTCCCCAGCCTTCCCCTCTTCAAGGGGCTAGAAATGTCTCAGTCACTGGGGAATTGTCCCAAATCCTTTGTGAAGAGCTATCATGCCAACTCACTAAGGTTGCAATCATATTGCAGGTACAGGAAAAATGGTCATGGAAAACAACTTAAAGGACATTTCTTCCACTTCAGCAATGCAGCGTCCTGTATCAAAGGGGCACTCAAACATCATTAGCTGGAGCAGCCTGGCCACCAGGTAAGAGCCTCAGAGAACCTGGATCCCTATGGTTTCCTGAGAATCACTTGGCAATAAAACTTAGACCAGAATATTTGCTTTCTCAGCTCCCATACTGACCAATGGAATTGCTCCTCACCAAACTGAATGCCTATGTACTTGCCCCTGTATCATTAAGCTAAGGAAATATACCATCTCATCACCACTCAGATCATCTATACTCATAATAACCAAATGCTGTATACCCAATTTTCTCTCAGACAATCTTGCAGGTGCCTTAGAAATGTAGCTCTTCCTAAATGGATTTTCCATTCCCTATTGCAACTAAATTGGTGATGACATTGCCTGAGTTTTTCCATCTGCAAAATACAGTCAATGAATTACTCCTCCTCTGTTTTTTTTTTCTTCAGCTCTTTACTACATTAAAATCTCTATTAGGTTTTTAGATGGAGAATGATCAATTTAGTTGATTTTAAACAGTCAATCCAAAATTTCTATAACTCCAAACTTTAATGAAAATAGCTGTATAATATATTGGCAACATTTCAGTTTAGTAGGTATAATATACAAGGAAGAACTGTAGTGATTAAGAATAGTGATTGTCTAAAGGTAAATATTATATTACCAGTAAAGCATAACCATTATGTTCTGACACTGCATACTGTAATGCATACTTTGTAGATGTTTTTTATAATGATTGAATGAGAAGAGTTGTTTAAAGTACTCTACCAGTACAGCCATTTATGGAAAACAGTATGAACGTTCCTCAAAACATTCAAAATAAAACACACAAGATCCAGCAATCCTGCTTCTGAGTATTTATCCAAAGGAAATGAAGTCAACACCTCAAATATTTCTGCACTGCCATGTTCAGTGAAGTCCTAGTCACCATCGACAAGTTATAGAAGCAACCTCAGTGCCAGAGAAAAGATGAATTGTTAAGAAAATGTGATACACACACACACACACACACACAAACACAGGACTACTATTCACCCTTTTCAAAGAAGGAAATTCTGCCACTTGCAAATGAACCTGAAGAACATTCTACTAAGTGAAGTAAGCCAGACACAGAAAGACAAATTACATGAGCTCACTCATATGCAGAATCTCAAAGAGAACACATAGAAACACATAGCAGAGTGGTGGTTGTGAGACGTTCGGAAGTGGGGACAACAGGGAGCTGTCATCAAAGGGGTACAAAAAAGTACACTGTTTACTACCTGCTCCCTAGGAAGCACTTATTAAATGTTCCTTACTATTGTAATTGTCAATTCTTATATCCGGGAAAGCGTATGAAATGGGGCTGAGTAACTATAGAGCTGTCCAAGGATATGGGTTGTCAAATAATTCTTTACTTGATCTTGATTTTTACATAACTTAACCTCTTTCCCTTAATACATGAAGAATCGTGCTTCCATTGAACTGAGGATTCTGGACTACTGGGTCTGGTTAATGGAGATTCTACTGTACCTTCCCCACAAGCAGGGCAGGTGTCAAATGTCTGAGCCACCAAGGGTGCCAGCAGTTTGTGCATGAACTCTCTAAGAGGAGAGGTAGCTTCTGCCCTTCCTTGCCTGTCCAAGGTGTAATGAAATGTGGTGAGATGATACTGCTTGCTTACAGGAGAAGACAAAGAACTGGTTGAAAAAAAGGGAACTCACTAATTTCTCTGATTCTGATTGTTCCTCACTATTTTCAACAACTAAATAGCCACAGACTAGAAATAGAAGTGCAGATATTTTTTGTTTGCCTTTGAGCATAGTTGGCAAACAGGTTTGCACTGGGTACCCTCTGTGTGCTAAGTAGGCATTGTGTGTGATGCTTTTGTAGACATAGAAAGAGTGTTTCAACCCCCATGCAATCTAGTTGGGTAAACAAGGAGAATTCGTAAAAGTGAATCAAAGGCCAAATGAAGCAACATTCCTTCAACTGCTGCCATGATGGTTTTGGAAGAAAGTCAGAGGGGGACGAAGTCAACAAGAACTGATAGACTGTTCCAGAAAGCCCTCAGGAGATGGGATTTGGAAAGAGAGACAGTGGGGGGTCTCAACTTCTGTGAATGACGTGACAAGGACAAGACACAAGTGCAATGTAGTGCCTTCTGTGTACCAGCTGGCCAGCCTGAGGGACGATGCCGTGAGAAGCAGCCCCTCGGATTTCTCAGGCGTGCACACTCCTGACTATTAGCATTGGACATGCATATGTCTCTTGTGCTGATGCAAAGTTGTTAGGAAAATGGGGTTCAGGTTTGAAGTCATTTTGCGGGTCTATGAAGCCAGCGTATGTGACAGCACATGAAATGCTCCAGTCAGGTTTGCTCTTTCCTACTCTTGCCCATGTTGTCCTCTCTGTGGTAATAAAACTTGGCAAGCCACAGATAATCAAAAGCCCCAGAAAACTCTGACATGTAATTCTCATCACTTAGTTTTATTGGCTTCCCTCACTATTCTTTAGGCCAGCTGTAAAAACAAACAATTTAACTAACTGATTTTTTCCCACTGTCTTTACTTCTCCCATTGTTCACGATAAGCAAGGAAATGGACTAAAAAGAGGATTGATCCAAGCAGGCCTGCCCACCTGCACACCTCATCCATCAGTCCTATATTGGGTTGAGGAATCCCTGGGTATGCTTTCAAAGCCCTAGAGAGGGCCAGAAATAGTGATAGGAATCTGGGCAGATCGTCTCTACAGCTGAGGATTAATTCACTCTCACTTCTTAATTCCAAAGCAGATGTGTTGCTCTGGAATTGAACCATACTGCTCCAAAGGACTACTCAGGGCCACACTGCTGAGTATCTTACATGGTGGGATAGTAGCACCCTCTTATAGGCGATTTTGCCTTCTACAGTTTTAACTGCAGTCAACCACATTTCAAAAATATTCACTGGAAAACTCAGAAATAAACAATTTATGTGGTATTTTTAAAAAAAACTCATAAGATATTGGTACAGTTGTTCTATTTTGGGATTATTGTTAATCTCAATGTGTCTAATTTATAAATTAAACTTTATCATAGGTAGGTATGCATAGGAAAAAAACACAGCATATACAAAGGCATGATGATTGATTTTATGTCAACTTGAATGGATTAAAGGATACCTAGAAGCCTAAAATTCATGACTTTGTGTGTGTCTCTGAGGTTATTTCCAAGTGAGATTATCATGTGAGTCCGAGTGAACCAGGTGGGACGATCCAGCAGTGACATGGGCGGATGCCATCAATTGGCTAGGCATCTGGAGAGACTAAATACAAAAGATGAATTGATTTCTCACTCTGAGAGCTGGGATATGCTTGATTCCCATCTTAGAGGTCAGCTGCTGGCCTTTGAACTCCAGGACATTTACATAGCCCCCTTGTTGACACTCCAGCTTTTGGTTTTGAACTGAGGTTCAAACCCTTGGCTTCTCTGGTTTCCAGGCCCTTGGAATTACACCAGGTGGTACTATTGTTATTCCAGCATCATCCTGAGGTGGGACTTGTAGGTGCCATAGTCACATGAACTAAACTCTCGAATAAGTCCTCCTTCATAACACTATATACACATGCTATTGATTCTGTATCTCTAGAGAACTCTAATACTGCAGGAGTTGGTAATACCCTTGGTTTCAAACTTCTACTTGTGGTCTTCTAACATTTTATGCATGGCCTGGGGGTGACTACTGTGTGTGCTTCGATAGATAAGTACCATTTGAGAGTGAATTTCTGTGTCTTTTTTTCAATGGAGTTGCTTGGCTCTGTTGATTTAAGTACAATGCTAGTGGATCAATGACAGATCTTGGTCCCATTTAGTACAATAGAATAGATGGTTTTTGGTGTTTGTTTGGTCTTGTTTGTTTTGTGGAACAAGGATAACTCTAGCTAGCAAATTGACAAACACATATTGGTAATAACTATGCAAAATAGAATGGTCAGCTTAATAGAGACAAGCAGGCATTATTTTGGGGAAAAACATAAAATATGTAGTATCTGCTTTTTTGATCCATTTTTGATGTTAATAGTATTACATTCATATACCAAAACCAGCATAATATTATTTATAGTTTTGTTGATAGCACATTCTATGCTTTTAAAGATGTCACCAGTGGGTTTTCCAGTAAGTTCAGAAACAACTATCTTCTCTTGCTAGTGCTGAAACACCATAGGCAGCCCTAAGTTATACAAAAGCTGTAGTCCAATATTTCATTGTCTCCCTGGTGTCTTTCTTTTCCCATAGGATAAGCAATGTTATATATAGCAGTTCAGCTCTCAGACTAGCAAACAGAAGACTATTTAATAGATTGTAGTTAAATATATATTTGTTGATGAATGAATCAATAAATAAATAGTAGCTCCATTCACTTGAGTTCTGTGTCCTTAAATCAGGGGAGCATGTACTATAAGAGAGAGACAGTAAGTATTTCCTCCTCCTTGGCAGGGAGATAAAGGTAGAGCTATTCAACTGTTATGATGAATAAAAATGCACCTCATCCATTCCCAGAGTCCCCTTGGCCCAGCTACCAATTTCCCTTCCATGGCCATACTACTCTGGATAAGCCTAGGGAGATCTGTTTATTTTACCTTTTCTGCTATCACCTACTCTCCATATTGTCTCTATCAAAACTCACTACTTTGGTAGTTATATTTTAATTAGAGAGTGAAAAGATACAGATAGGGCTAACTCAGATTATGTTGGACTGACCAACACCACACTAAATCACTGTCTTTATAAACTCAAGTAGATACTGACAGATACCTAGTTAGTGATACCAAGAGAAGCAAAAGTTTCCAACCCGTATATATTAGACCTGGATCAGTCAAGGAAACCATTAGAACTTTTGCTTTTATTTATTTGATGGACAGAGAAAAATATATGGAATCAGAGCTCCTATCTGCTGGTTTATTCCCCAAATGTCCACCATGATCAGAATGAGACCAGGCCAAAGCCAGGAAATGGGAACTCACCAAAGACCTCCTATGTATGTAGCAGGGATCTAACTATTTGAGCCATCACCAGTGCCTCCCAGGGTCAGCACTGTTGAGACACTGAAGTCAGAAAGCAGAATCAGAAATCCAAACCCAGCACTCTGAGGTTGGAGGAATATGTCCTAACTGGCACTTCAGTTGCTAGACAAAATACCCACCCACAAACCATCTTTGATAGAAAGGTTTGTCTCCAATTTAAAAAAAAAATTATTTACTTTACATATTCGAGAGACATAGAGATTGAAAAGAGATCTTCCATATGCTGGTTCACTTCCCAAAGAGCCACAGTGGCTGGGGCTGGACCAGACCAAAGTCAGGAGCCTGGAACTCCGTCCACGTCTCTCACATGGGTGGCAGGGTCCCAAGCACTTGGTCCATCTTCTGCTGCTTTCCCAGGCTCATCAGCAGAGAGGTGGGAGAGAAGTGTGCAGTTGGAACTCAAACCAGAGCTCATATGAGATACCAGCAGCGTGAGCTATGGCTTAACCTACTGTGCCACAGCACCAGTCTCCAAATAATACTCTTATGTGTATATACCACAGTTTTTCTTTATCTCATCACTGACAGTCACCTAGATTTACTCCCTATCTTAGCTAGGGAACAGTGCACCAATAAATATACAAGCACAGATATCTCTTTAATATGATTATTTCATTTCTTCTGGATCATATGGTAGATCTTCTCTCAGTTTTTCTGAGGAATTTCCATAGTGTTCTACATAATTTACCATTCCACTAATACTATATAAAGAATTCCTTTTTTCTCCACTCCCTTATCACTATGTTATTGTCTTTTTGATAATAGCTGTACTTTTTTTAACAGCGGAATTGAGTCTTTATTTTATTTTTTAAAAGATTTTATTTATTTAAGCGGTAAAGTTACCGAAAGAGGGAGGGACAGAGAGACAGGTCTTCCATCCACTAGTTCCCTCCCCAAATGGCCACAACAACTGGAGTTTAGCCTATTGAAAGCCAGGAGCTACTTCTGGGTCTTCCATGTCGGTGCAGGGGCCCAAACACTTGGGCCAACTTCTACTGCTTTCCCAGGTCATAGCAGAGAGCTGGATCAGAAGTGGAGCAGCCAGGACAGGAATCGGTGTTCATATGGGTTACTGGCACCACAGGCTAAGGCTTAGCCCACTCTGCCATAGCGCCAGCCCCAATAGTAGCCATTCTAATTGAGGTGCATTGATATATCATTGTAGTTTTGATTTGCATTTCCCTGAATGGCCAGTGATATTTTCATATATTTATCAGTCGTTTACATTTCTTCTTTCAAAAATTGTCTATTCATATTAATTGCTTATTTAAAAAAAAAAAGACATGAAAGAGTTACAGAGGGAGAGGGAGGCGATGAGAGAGAGAGAAAGCTTTTTCTTCGGCTGGTTCACTCCCAAGCTCTTCCATGTGCTGGGAGGTCAGTGTTTTACCAGCTACGCCACAGTGCCAGTGCCACTTGCCTGTTTTTATGAGATTATTTGTATTGTCAATTTCTTTGTGTCTCATATATTTTTTGACAGATGAATGGTTAAGCATAGAGTTTTCTATTTGGGTATAACATAGCCCATACCTAGTAAACCAAAAGCCTCCTTTGTTTTTTTATTCACGTATGCCTGTTGTGTGTACCCTTACCGTAGCATTTTAATCATGCTCATTAAGTGAATCCACATTCACTCTACTGCTGCTGCACAGCCAGCATTTCACTTCCAGAATTCCCTTTCTCCCCAGATCCAAACAGCACCATGTTCCCAGTCCTGCGGTGTCCTGGCTGAGATCCCTGAACCTGCACCGATGCTGTCCTCATTAGCTAATGGCGTTCTTTGGGTCCACCACCATCTCTAGCAGAGGTGCCATCTGCCATGATGTGTATCAAGCCCTTCCTTCATCGAGTCTCAGTACCATGGTCCAAGAAAACAGTAGGACAAAATGACATGCCCATTCACTACATAGTTACAGGGAGAGGGCGGGGCAGAGTTAGAGTCTTGCAGACAAGTTGATGAGCACTATCTAATCCCAGTGAGCCTGAGTTTTGAAGCCGGGAAAGCAATAGGGCGGCAGCTTCTATACGATAAGCTTAAGGAGTGTAAGGGACTGAGCAGGTGCTCTCTTTTGGTCCTCTCACTGTCTCTTCTTTAGTTCTTATTTTGCATCTGCAGGCAAACATCAGATCTCTGAGAATCATTGTGCCACAATCCTAGCAAAGCAACCATACGGGTAGAACTAATTCATCTGGTATGTGTTGACTAAGTTACCTCTCTATATGAACAAACAGTATTTTATTATTATTGCTTACAATGGCAGACAAAATAGATTCAGGCTTCATCAAAGCATCTAGTGCCATAGACAAGTCTCTCTTCCTTGCCCTTCTCTTCCCACCCTGCCTCGCTTTCCAAGCCGTAGTAAAGGAGGCACAAGGGCTCTCTTTCACCCTCTTTGTGAGTCCATGGGCAGGTCTTAAAAAAATGAAGTCAAATTCTCCCAGGAATTGTGGGTGTGGAAATGTCCATTGATTTGTCTGGGTGAGAAGGTGGGGACGCATTCCTTATAGCTTGGGAATAAAAATTAGAGTGGGATGGCTGATCATCTGCTGGGCGATACATTTATTCCCATCGAGTAATTAGTGGCAGCATCTTTTCCTCCTTCATACTGTGGATCATCTTCTACAAGGCAGGGGTGAGGCCTTGTCATCGGCTTAGGGTTACATATGAAAGACCAACCACATAAACAAGGTAGAGAGCATGGGTAGCTTAGTCACTGTTTCCAGGTAAAACTATTCAAGGCCTAGGAGCGTGACTTGCATAGTTTCCAGGGGAAACAAATGTGAAGTAGACAAACGCCCAGGGTTTCCATTCCCTGTTCTCTGCTCTCCCTCCGACACCTCGCCATCCTCTTTCTCAGGGGCGCACCATGGCCAGCTCCTCACTGTCCCCACCTGCCTCTTAAGAGGCACTCCTCAGGCTTACTGGTCCCCGTCATTATCTCTTATATGAAACTTCTTTTGCATTCTCATAGCCCCCTGTGCTTAAAGGAAGGGCCAGAAAACCAGCATTCCTGGCAGGCAGAGGCCAAGCTGCTTCTGTTCTCGGAGAGCCGGGAGCTGGGTCCACCTGCTCCATGGGAGGGGAGTCCGGCGGCTGTTTCGCCATCCCCTGAGCCACCCTGCTGCCTGGTGGAAATAGCAGTGAAATTTCTCAGTAAGCCCTGTCTTTCCGACTCACACTGGGGGTGTGAGGGCAAAAGCACGAAGTTAGCACCACCATCCTAACAAACAGCAAGCTGCTTTGTGGCGACTCTGCTGGTTCAGTCAGATGGTGAGACAGTCCTGTCTCCTGGGTCGTCCTGATAAATGCTGACGTTTCTCGATGTTCCACTTCTCCCACCATAGCCCTGGGGCTGGGTGGCCTCACCCTGTGTCACTTTTTCCTGCAGCCTAAACGAACACATCCCAGCATGCTCTAGGTGTCGGAGGTGTGGTTTTAGGCGTGGACAGGATGTCACCTAAAAATTACCCGCCCACTTCAACTCAGGGCTGAAGTTCCGCAGGTAGGAGTTTTCCCCTTAGCTGAGGCCCCTGAGCCAGGGTGAAAGAAATACCCCCTGGAAGGGCTTGTGCTTTATAGTTCTGTTTTTGATTTGAGACCTGGAGTTTCTTCCACACCCAGGGTGGCAGTCAGTTGGAGCACAGCGCTGCCCCCACAGGACACACAGCAGCAGGACTTGCAGGTGGTGGGTCTTAGCATCTGCTCTGTGGAGCCGAGTGTCTGGCAAGAGCCTATGTGTGCAGGGAGCCCCAGCCTCTTTGTCTCTCTCGGAGGTTGTGGTTCTAATGTCACTGCCAGGTTCACCCAGACGTGTTGTTGCCTCTCTCTGCTTTACTGCGTCCTCTCTAGGAAGCCAGGTATTATTACAGCTCATCTGCAGTTGGGGGACCTGTGGCTAATTCAAAGGCAAGTTCAAGAACAAGTCCTGAAGGAATTTGTTAGTGTAGGAGGGGCCAACACTGAGAAGCTGCCATTCTCTGGCTCAACGTGCCCCTAAAATACTCAGCTTAGATAACAGAAGACATTTTTAACATGTACTTTTTCACACTGCTAGTGTATAGATTGCAGGTAAGTTACTTTTTGGAAGAAGACTTTGATATGGTTGTGTAAGAATCAGGAAACTAGGTCGACTATATTTGTTTATGTGTGTATGTACACATGAGGGTACTTGAAAAGTTCATGGAAAATGAGCTTAAAAGAAGTTTATTTTGGGCCGGCTCCATGGCTCACTAGGCTAATCCTCCACCTGCGGCACCAGTACCCTGGGTTCTAGTCCCAGTTGGGGCGCCGGTTCTGTCCTGGTTGCTCCTCTTCCAGTCCAGCTCTCTGCTGTGGCCCGGGAAGGCAGTGGAGGATGGCCCACATGCTTGGGCCCTGCACCCACAGGGGAGACCAGGAGGAAGCACCTGGCTCCTGGCTTTGGATCGGCACAGTGCACCAACCATGGAGGCCATTTGGGGGTGAACCAATGGAAGGAAGACCTTTCTCTGTCTCTCTCTCTCACTGTCTAACTCTGCCTGTCAAAAAAAAAAAACTTATTTTGATGCAAAATATTTTGAAACCTGATCATACAAGGAGTCTTGAAAGGTTTATGGAAAATGCATATCGTGAACAGACTATGCAATGATCTCAGATTCTTTAAATTTCATTTTCCATGGGGTTTTTAAGCACTTTCACATATGAAGTACATGCACATATATGATTTACATCATACAGTTATAATGTACCAGTACATACAAATATTAAAGATATATATATATATAACATCTCTACACAGGAAGATCTGTGCAAGGCAAAAATGACAAGTCACAAAGTTTATAGACTTTGATCAAAAAGCATCTTAACCCAGTGCTGTGGCTTCTTAATGGAAACAGTGTCAATGGTCTTCCAACATAAAAATTCCATTTCTTATTTGTGTTCTGTAATCACTGATTAATATTACTTTTGAATGTCATGGCAAGTATGGAGCACACTAAAATTTCTAGTTCATAAAATAATATTGTTTGAAAAATATCTTTATACAGATGAGCTGTTTGCTTAGAGTGACATATTCTGTTTGATTTTATAGTCAATCAAACCTGGCACTTGGATTGTACACTGCATGCCGATAATTTGAGATACACTAAGGCCTTTCTAAATATAGCCAGTTTTAGCTTTTGCCCAAAGCACAGGGATTCAGCCACCGGGACCTTTGGCAACAGTTTCCTTTTATTCACTAGATCTGGTTCAGTCCTCTGCACCAGCATTGGAAGGCAGTTGTAAAGGACTCGGAGATGGCTCAGAGGTGGGAAGGATCAGCAGGCCCAGGCTGGGTCTCTGCATGGCTCTGAGCCGAGTCGTCCCCAAACAAACCACAGCACCTCCTTCCACACAGTGCCCAGACTCCACCCAAAGCAACCGGGCTCCAGCCGGCATCCATTAGGTCCACCCAGGACAAGCTCTGGAGAGGGGAGAAAACTCATCAAGCACAGTGGCACACGGCTCTGACCTTTTCATTCAGATTCTATATGGGTATCTTATGTCTGATCTGCAGGGATTTGGGCGAAAGCAAACGAGAGCTGCCCTGGGTGAGTTCTACATTCCTTGGTTTTCCAAAGTCAAAGACCTGAAGCCTGGAAATCTTTAGGGCTATTTAAGACCAGAGAGACAATCACAGAAGAACCATGTTTTTCCAACTATCTACCCTCTATCAAGCCCAATGACAGCCCTCTTTCCAGAGGTCTTTCCCGCTCTACCATCCTGCCTTGGACTCTTCCTTCTTAGGAGGATGGGGATGGGAGAATGGGCCCTCATGAAGCCGCCTAATGAAGCCAGCTTTTGCTCTTGCTCCAGTTGTCTTGCAGCCCCCCCCCGATCTGTGGAGATGCCTCAATTCTCCTCTTTGTCCTCCTCACCCTCCTTCACTTGGCTGTCGCAGCCATAGAACTGGGACATAATACCTTGCTAAGACAAGAAAGAACCAAAGCATACAGAAAAGTGGTCTGTGTGTGTGCAGCATACACAGATAAAACTGTGGGGGGGGGAGGTCAAATTAAAAGACGTCTAATTTGGTGGAAAGAATTTTGGAATCTGTACAGTATTACCCATGGATTTTTTTGACGACCTCCGCATAGGTATGGGTATAGAAATGTGTGTGGACAAAGGCTTCTTCAAATAGGATTTCAACTCCTCTCTGGCTAGCTTGTTTCCCTACTGAGAAGCACAGCCCAGAGTAGCCGCTGAAGAGGAAGGAAGCCAAGCCAGGAAGGGAGGAAAGAAAAGAGATGGAGAAGCAGAATGAGCAACTGGATTCCAGAACAATCTCACAACACCAAATTGGAGATTGAAATTATAACAAAACTCCACTCAAGCAGTTTCACCAGATTTACCTCTGTTTAGGGCCCTTAAAAA